GGCGGGACTACACATGCCAGTGAAATGATCACGAGACGAGACTTGTCAGTGTCGAGCTAGTTACTAGCAAGCCCGTTAGCGTACACATATGTCCGAAACTGGCAAGTGCAATTTGCCTGCCAGGGAACCAGCTACTGGCATGTGTAATCCAGCTCTAAGTGTGTGTACCCACTGGTATGTAATGTATATAGTGTTTGATACTAGTGTATAATAATATGGGTGAGGTGTAAATACGTCACTCTTCGATAAATGTATTTACATATATGGATTATTGTACATTTTAACTTTTTGATACACTTACCTTACTTGAACGCTTATTTTATTTTTGTTATTCAAATAATTTGGACGCTTAATTGATCCAACGAATTGCAGAATATGTATTGAGACAGTATTCAAGGTTGTTTTTATTAATGTACATACATATTTGAATGTAATTTGCAATTTAAAATGTTTTAATAAATGTAAATACTAGAAAATAATTGATTTTGTAAACAAACTAGGAATCAAAACATAGTTTTAACTATAGCATTGTCTACACATTGGTTAAAGTAAACTACATGTTTATTTTAACATTCTTACACTATTATCCTAACAAGATAAAATATTTATCATTCTTATTTTTAATTTGATCCAAAAACACATAATCTGAATTTAGTATATAACAATATTAATATTCAAAGAATATTAATAATCTTTAAATTTTGATTATATGTCCATGCATTATAGATTTGTATTTGAATTAAATTTGAAATTTACTTAAAACAATGTAATCAAGAAGGAGACAAAAATTATATCATGCGGGAGTTTTGTAAAAAAAAAAAAACCATTTAACAAGAATTTGGGAACAGTGAAATGATACTAAATAAATTGAATATTTTCTTTCTATGATAATTTTTACATTCTGTTAAACGTAACACCTACGTATTTTATAGTAGAAAAAAAGGTACATATTAATAACTTTATAGATCCAATACCTCTTAATTGTATTTTATTGTTTTGCCTTTTAATTAATGTCTACAGTTGGTAATTTCAAAAGGAATAGTCAAAATTGTTGTTCAACACTATTTTTACAGAGTTATAATTTGATTGGATTGTTCATTTTGGCAGGAACCAATAACTTTATATTTAAAAAATATAATTATTATAATAATTGTTGTTGCTCTTTGAAAGGTGGTTATTATTCTGTTGTATGCTAATTGACTGATTTATCGATTAGTTCATTGTAAAGATTAGTTTATGTAAAGATGTAAATAAATGTAATTTAATAATAAAGAAACAATGCATTGTTGATATTTGTGTGTTTTGGGAATATTTTCATATATGGGTCTTGACTGATGTGACTCTTTAACATATTCATGTCTTTGTTCTATTCAAAGAGAATGTAAGAGATGTCAATAGTCACTGCAGCCGAAACTCATAGAGTAAGCAAAGTATTTCTTGTAAATATTATATTATAGACGGACAAGGATATTTGACCCGGTGGGTATAATTTTAATAAAATCACGACAGCTCACTATTCCTACCTTCAATGTCAGAAGTGTTGCAAGATTTACTACTTTAGATAACTAAATTTCTTCCGCCGATACAAAAAAAAGGTACCTAGATTTTAGATGTTTCGCCTCGCTTCTTACTGGGCCATTTATCCTTGTTTGACTATTATTTGTAGATATTGTATTACCTTCTGTAAGGTATTTAGAATTTTTTAATGTTACATTTTTTTTAAACAAAGATTAACAGATGTAGTATTTCGACGGGAAAAGTGCAAGTTTGTTAGCAATTTTGATGTAAAACTGACAAACAGTTGAATCCTTATTCCATTAATGATTAAAAAATGCAAACATATTTATGTGCCATACTTTAACAAAAGGCAGTTGTTAATGGCTACTACTGAAAAGTTGAATACTACATTCCTCTTACACGTTTAAAGTTTTTTTTCGAGTTCAGAAGCTTTGTTGTGGCAGTATTTATTCAGTATAAATATAAAATTATCGACATTTTTTAGTTAAAATTTTATCATTTGTAGATCACCAGTTATTATTTTCATAATGTAGCTATAACCAAATGTAAATTTCTCGACTTTAGTGATAATAAACAGATCTATCCTTTATTTTTATTTTTTTTAGTTTTACTTAACCTTCCTACATTACGGCAGTTATCAGGCTTTCATTAGCGGAATATATTTGTATTAAATCCCTTTTAAAAGATGTGATAATATATCTTTGTGAATTATGCAGAATGCAAGGTGATGACTTAATTACGATAAGTGTATTCGTTATTTAATTTGCTTTTTGGGTAAGTGATATAATAAATCCCTTCACCAAGCAAATATTTAAACAATTTCTTTGTGTCAATGTTTTTGTGACATTTCCTTTCCTCTTGACATTGACATGTTTACGAAATGACAACACTGAGAGCAAGGTATGCTGTCAAAGAGGTTATATTATTGTTGATATTAATTATTCGTTTAAAACATAGTGAACTTTTCATGAATACCCGCGATTTAATAAACACCGTAATTCAAACGCCCGTAATTAACATGAGTAAATAGAATAAAATACCAACCATTAATGTTGAGCTAAAACTACCGAAATGAGAAATGGTCAATACAAATATGACAGGTGTTAAATGTGAATTTATTTTCGAAAAATTAAATACCAACCGAAAAAAACTCTTCGAAATAGCATTATCATGTGCAAAGACTGGAAAAGTGTTTTACATACTGCAAGAAGAATTAAATGAGTTGCCTGAATTATCACAAGACCTGAATTCTGTGAATCGTCATTACATGAAAATGATAAGTTTTCTATACACAAAAACTATTGATGCACTAATCGAAAGTATTTCAACTTTACCGGAATGGCAAAGCATACCAAATACAATCATTTTGGATAATTTGAATGGCTATTGTAGTAAAAACAGTTTGCAGCAAGCTTGCGGCATTGTAGCATTGCTCTTAGACACCGCTCGTAGTTGTTCTAAATCCCTTAAGACATTTTGTAATTTATATATCTCTGTAGATAGACAAGCTGTAGGTAATGATTACTGTAATATTATGCAGGAATTGTATGGTTTAAAGTTGTGAATGTAAAAACTGCTAATGATTTATGAATTAGATTTGTTATTTGTACTTAATTTGTTTTATATTACACAAGTAGCCTAACAATACCAATCTGTAACATTGCATTTAAATTATAGCTTTAACTATACTATTATATCTGACTAATATTATAAATGTGAAAGCTTAGATGGGTGGATGTTTGTTAGTTTGTAGCCTAAACGGCTGAAATTAAGCATAGTTGTAGAGGATAGTTTCAAAGAACAAATAATATACTTTTAATTCCATGTGGATGGAATTTCGGGTGAAAGCTAGTAACTACATAAATAATACAGAGTGGTTTTAATTTTCTCTCACAAGTTGTAAGTGATAAATAAAAAGACATTTTGCACTTAAACTATAAAATTATGTTTAATGTCTCCAAATCCAGTTCCAAATCGATATGAATTATGTACAGTACCATTTGTTAAAACGGAATGAATAATCTGATTAAAATAAAAGCATTTATACATAGGAAAAGATCAGATTAATTTAGGAAATCACCTAAACTTCAAAACAATGTAAAGCAAGAAAAACACAAATATGGAAAATAAAAATAAATAAAATATGTAATAATTATGATTTCCCTTTCCCATTTTTAACACTCTGCCCATAGTTTTGCCCAAAAACCCTGAACTTCTATCAACATCATCATCGAGACCGCGTAAAATCTTATCTTGAATTCTCACTTCATTGCCAATCTCTATGGACATATGTTTTAGTGTACTTATTTTTCCACTTAGTTCCTCCGCCATTCTTTCGTTTTCATGTTCCAAGACATCTTCCGTCGCAACCCTTGGTATGGGCTGATATTGATAGCCGTCCCGCGCTCTTCTCATATTGCTTCGCCCCGCCGTATTGAAGATCTGATGAAACTATTTTGCAAGGTAAAAATTGAAGTGTTAGATTATACGTCGTATAACATGCACAGAGTACGTCTATTTCATCTTAGTAAAAAAAACTTACGAAATGTAATCGAAAATGCTTAAATGTCAAGCAAGACTGATAAAGAAATATTTATATTTAATTTGTTTAAAAATGAAAGGCAATTAGTTGACAACTTGACACGACACACGAAACTGTAAACTTGTCAAAATCATCTGGTGACTAATTGCAAAGAGTAAGTACAAAGAGTATATAAAATAAGAGTCGGAAATATACTCTAACCGAATATAATAATTAAAAACGGCTTTTCCAAAATGGTGGACATTTTCGGTGCAATCAGCTTGACGAAAATAACAAAAATTCAGCATGAATGTAGTCTATGGCTATGGTTTAATTTTTAAACTCTTATCTTGAGGAAATAATTTAAATTAAAAAAAAAAAACAATTTCCTTAATTATAACTTAAATTATGATTTACTAATGCAAAACATGTAAATTGACAAAGTTTCTTAAATATTTACATAATAATTAACAGTTGTTCCAGTATAAGTTTCAGTTGAATGAAAAAAAAGAGTGCGTTTTCAGATAGATACGTTAGGTACAACTATGAATCTAAATCTATCGATCCCACTTTGTATGCAAGTAAAAATCGAAAAGATACAATTATCATAACGTCCTAATTTAGACAAACTATAAATAATCGATTTCGCGACGACACGCAGCCGCAGCAGCAGTAGCAGCTAGTATTGCTTGTGTAGATTTCTTCATTCAATGCTTATGTGGAGAACTTTATAGGCTTCCAAAGAGTTGCATTTAATCATATCTGTAACAGAATTACCTAATGAAAATTCATTTTTCTTTCTTACGTTTAAGCTGAAATATTACAATAAGTATGATTGTAGAATTTAATCACCTTATTGATGATACCCACGTACCTAGTTGATGATTATCTGTCAACACTTTCCAGATAGTTTTAAGGTACTTGTAAGAACATTTTTAGGTTAATTTACAGTAAGATTCGTTTACGGACATATACATAACTTGTCGAGAGCGTCGATGGCTCAGTGGTTCAAGCACTTGACTTGTAATCTATCTTGGGTACGAGTCCCGCCATGTACCAGTGTGATTTTAATTGATATTTAATTTAATTTAATTTGTTTTTACGAAGAAAGTAGGAACAGGAACTCAAACCATTTACATAAAAAAAGGAAGTTTGGGGCAAACTTCACATGGGTTATCCTTTCACTACATTAAATTAATATTGGCCAAGAAAAAAAAACTAGACATTAGCCCTTGTAACCTACTGTTTTACTTTTTCGACAATAACATTATTAAATATCGTAATAAAGCAATCAATATTTTGTTACCTACTTATACCTAGCAGGATTGCATTAGATATTTCCAACACATAGGTGTAAATAAAAGATCAAATATTAAAGGTAAAAGGTGCAATTTTAATATTTACAATGTTTGCTCATTATATAAACAATGTTAAACTAATTACATCCATAATACACATGTAACATACAGTCAGCGTCACAAGCAATTTTTTTATTTCACATCAAGACCTAAAATTTGCAAACATATGATGAAGTATACAAATTGAACATTAAAATTTATACTAATTTTATAAAGAAATTTGTATTTTTGTATGCAATTAACAAAACTACAGGATCGATTACAAAAATTCATTTGCCATTAGAAAGTTACATTATAACTTAGTAATATAGTACATTACATTTTTTTTATTTCAGTGCGAGCAATAGCTTGGGTTTATTTTAAATTGTCATAAACTAATTTAATATAATCAGTGCTTTTGAAATAAAATACATATAGACAGTTTAATAAGGACATCCTTTTGAAAGAAGTTAAATCTGAACATAAGTCTTGATTTGAAACATCATACATAATTATGTTATTAGAAATAGAAACCATAAAACTATATAAAAATAGCATATACTTTAACAGCCTTACAAATTTTGCTTATACTCAGTTTATACCACATTTATTTGTAAGGCTTTAAGTGTTAACGCATTATATTACCACTACTTGCAAAGTGCCATGATATGTATGCATTTGTTGTCATTTTTTGTGCACATTTTTGTGCACAAAAAAGTAAAACAGATGTAGTTATTGTACCATAACAAAATATTATGTAAAATATGGTTACTCGCAACGCTGGTTGTTTGCACCAAATGTGATTAGTCACTAATTATTAGAAAACGTAATTAAAAACTAAATGAATATCATATGTACAATACTATTCTCAATCACCAACACCAAAATATTGTTTAAAGTTCCATTGATGAAAAAATTGGCTATTTCTGGACTCTAAACAGAGTGCTGAATGGAAATCTAAGGTTTCAAATCAAAGAGATTCAACAAATATATAGAGTAGACATAGTTAACTCTTCATTTGAAACATTTTTTTTAGAGACTGCGGAGTTTATTTAATAACAAAAGATGGAGCATATTATAATTATGTAAAATGTACTACATGACAATACAAGGACAAAAGGTGGCACTAAACTTGACAACAGATGTAATACCTTTCAGAGAAATTAACAGTGAAAAAAATTGTCCACTATGCTCTATATATTTCTTAAATGTCTTAGTTTTAAATACATAAGTGTATATAAATCCATTACATATCAAAACATGAGCACTAGTCAAGATTGTACATTTCCTGTGCACATAAATTTTATTTATAGAAATTAATACACACGAGGTATATATTAATCAGTAGATATTTTCGAGCATTTCTTTAGAAATCATCATCATATCTTTCTCCTTATCCTACTCTCGTAGGGTTTTTGTCCTCCACATAACTCTATCATCCGTCATCTCAATCATCACACCCTTTTTGATCATGTCACCTTTCACACAATCCATCCAACACTTTCTAGGTTTACCTCTATTGATGTACCCTTCCATACCCATAACTAACATTCTCCTTGTAAATACGATTCATCCCTCCTCATACCATGTTCACCTTTTACTCCTTACCTTCTCTTCTAATGGAACTTACTCTTAAACTTCTTCCAATATACTCATTTCGTATCTTATACATTCGTGTTACCCCACACATCCATCTTAACATTCGCACTTCTGCCACATGTGGTCTCCTTTCATCCATTACTTTTGCTGCCCAACATTCAGAGCCATACATCATTACAGGTCTTACGGCGGCCTTATAAATTTTCTTTAGAAATAAATATAACATTAAATTTTATACACTCGGAAAGTGTAATCAGATACATTCTAGTCATTTATATTTAAATTGAATTATTCTTACAAACCAAACAGTTAAATAGTATAAGGGCCTGTCCCAATAAATTGTAAATTGTCTGATAACAATCCAACGTGTAATATAGGCGATGGAAATATCGTATTTTGTTATCGCATCTCTGAGCCTATATCAGCCAGTGGTGGGACAGGCGCTAAGTCATATTGTCGCATGGTGTATATGACTAAAATATAATCCACGACCTGCATAAACACATTAAATTACTTTGAAATATCTACAGCATGATGAAAAAATAATATAAATTACAATTACTTCATATTCCATCCACGTAAAAAATTGTTTCTTTGTTCACACACAGTAAACACCGCACTGACGGATACTAGGCCATTTCAAAACATTTCATAATACTTTCGTTTCATTCCGGTTTACTGGCACCAGTTATAGTCTCATACTGCTCCTTGTCCAGTTCCGCCATCGTGAGTGTACCGTCAGGTAGCAACAGAACTACACGCCGTGTGCCACCTAAAAACAATGAAAAAAGGTAAGTATTTTACTAAATAATCATCACTTGAAAACATACGTCAATAACGTGTTTCCTGTTGGACCTGTAGACCCAATGGCCTTATGGGAAACACAGTTTTCGTTTTGGGTACTATGACGTCATAATACTATAGATCATTTCAGGAACGGTCGTAGCGTATTCTTTATTTTTTTTATTCCATCCTCGTCGCCAGTGATAAGTATGAGAATAATGAGAACAACGCTTGTTGAACGCAGACTGGTGTATAGGCATACACAACAGTAGTTAAAGCGTGGTTCTCATTTGGCCAGTACATTGGCATGTATTGTTTGGACTCATTGGCGCCAGATGTTTTCAGTATACTAGTTGTAGGCCTTCGCTGATTTTGAGGGATACTGGCATAACGGAAACAAGCATAACGCCAGTGGGGGATATTGACTGACCAGGCGAGGGCAGGTCCGCTTGCACGAGCTGCGCGATGACCTGCGTGGAGTCCTCGCCCGACTCGCCCTCCATCTGCACGGCGACCTGCTGCAGCGCACCGCCCTCGCCGCCCGGCAGCAGCTGCGCCAGCTGGCTGGGGTCGATAGACAGCATGTCCTGCACACATTTCACAATTTATTGACATGCAGTAAAACATTTTACAAAATTAAAATAAGCTCTCAAGGCACTGCATACAACACATGTTAAAGCTCAATATAAATAACTAGCTTTTGCCCGCGACTCCGTCCGCCTCTAATTTAAAAAAAAAAACAAATAGCCTATGTTTTCTTCCATACTATCCTCTATATCTATGCCAAATTTCATCCAGATTAGTTTAGCAGTTTAGGCTACAAACTCTAACAAACATCCATCCAAACTTTTCCATTTATAATATTAGTAAGAATTAAGATAGTGGGATTACTAAGGATAACAAGGTAGCAGAAGCTTTGATTATTCGGATCTACGTAATTTATTCTGATTAGGAATAGCTTTTACTTCTCGCTATACATATAGCATCTGCACTAATTTACTTTATACCTTGAGTACATATGTAAAAGTATGTATATCTGACCTGTCCGTCTTCCCTGGTGACGTACATGACGCTCTCTCCGTCGCCGTCGCCGCGCTCCTCGCCCTCCGCACCCTCCACACCCTCCACGCCCTCCACGCCCTGCGCCGCCACCAGCACCGTCTGCCCGTCCTCGTTCTCTCCGGCCACCTGCCACAAAAGTTCATCTATTATTTAGCTAAAAATATCTTTAATATTACAAAACTAATTTAACGGCAATGTAACTTTGTAAATGTTCTGTATGGGTTTTGTTTTACATATAAAAAAATAATGTTTTGTTACTTTTTCTAAGATTTTGTCAATGTAGTGGACTGTACCATTTGTATGAGTTAGAAGAAACGGAAAAATTAAAAACTAGCTGTCACTCGCGACTTTGTCCGTGTAAAATTAAAAAATAATAAAAATATAACCTATGTTTCTCACTGATGACATAGGTTTTAAAGAGTAAAAGAATTTTTGAAATCGGCCCAGTAGTTTAAAGCCAAATCTTTCCTCTTAAAAATATCAGTATAGATAAAATTTAGGAACGGTAACTTACTTGATAGAGTACACCATCTTCGCCACGGATCATGATGGGCGTATTTCCGGCGTGTAGCAGACCAACTTCTTCGCCATCGTCAACACCCACGCCTTCTTCTAGAAGCTGTTTCACCGCACTCGCCTCGATCTTTACCTCCGTCTGTTAATAAATACACTATTATAAACAAACCTGTTTCTTTTAAAATATTAAATTATTAACAATTTTTAATTGCTATTAAATAATATATTCTTTGAATGTCCGACCCCCTAGCCACTTATATCGCATCTAATTTCTAAGATTCCTTATTATTTTTAATACTTTACTTTTTTCTTTTTGTTCAGTTTTTCTTTAGTCATGTTCTCTCAGCTATTATCATACTATAATTTACATTGTTCATTTACGAAAACTAACATGTCTTTTTTTAGTGTTTAATAAAAAATAAAACAAAATTGTAGTTTGAATCAATTGGCATAACTTACCCCGTCTTCATCTGTGAGTACAGGTAAGGAAGGCTGTGCTCCGTCTCCTTGCACCAACATTCCTGTTGTGCCTCCCGGAGACATCTCCACCTACATCATACAACCATTCGTTTATTCATCTATACATCTATACTAATATAATAAAGCTTAAACACACATTACTTAGTTACATAGGATGTCGGCAAACACAACATATTTTTGAACATATATTCTTAGAATAAAATCCTACAATCACGAAAGGCTCTAGATAATATATTTACACGCTACTAAACTTAGGTAGTAATTAATTTCGTAAAATCCGTCATGAGGGTGATGGCAACCTACAATGCTGCCAAAAGCAAAAGAGCAAGGTTGCCATTGTTACTCATTAACAATACATAGTCAACATCCATGGTTATTGAATTGAAATATTTGAATTTTGATATTTGCAATTGAAAGTTTTACGAAATGTAAACGATAAAACACAATTTATTTAATGCCAATGGGGTACACCAGCAAGGGGAACATCTAGTTTGTTTATAATTTTTAAAATAATTTAGACAGCTGTAAAAGGTTATTGAGATCAAAGATACTACCAGGTGACTCTAAAGAGTGTTAACCTTTTAACAGCCAGAATATGAATATCACCTATGGGAGTATGATAAGGTAGAGGAGATGATGAATATGTCTATCACCTTCATGAGCATTGTGGCATTGTGATGCGGCGGCGGTGTGGTGGGGGGCGGCGTGGGCGGCGGGGGCGGGGTCGGCGGCGGCGTGGGCTCGCCCTCGGCGCGCGCCAGCCGCTTGCCAGTCAGCGGGCAAAGGGTTAACTCGCGCTCCGGACTCGGAGACGGTAAGGGACCGAGGTCACTCGGGAACGGATCTTCTACCCCGTCCGATGATTCCGAAGACGCGTCCGACTGAAAATTGAAACAAGTTAATGAAAATTACCAAATTATAGAACACTAGCTGTTGCTCGCGATTTCGTCCGCGTGGTACTCACAAATTACCTTTCCATCGGTGAAAGACTTTTCAAAATCTGCCTAGTAGTTTTTGAGTTATTTCAATACATACAAAAATCGTAGTATAGATATAGACATCGATAACAATTTAACTGAATTATACAAATTTCACTACAAACAATTGAACTGGATAATTTTAGAGAAGTGAATCTCTACGAGTATCGATTTAATTAAAGAAATACATAGTGACCTTGTCAAAATCATAGGGCATAGTCTTGTCGCGGATCCGCACGATGTTGCCGGCGGCCGTGGACACGGAGTAGCCGCCCCGGCCGCGGCCGCGCACCGCCCCGCCGCGTCGCAGTAAACTGTCGCCCTGTCAACACAATAACATTACAACTAGCTGTTGCCTGCGACTCCATACGCGCGGGATTTAAAAAAAACGTCTGGTATATGTCTATACCAAAATTCAACCAGATCATGCCATTCTGGATAACAAACATTGATTAGTCCAAATAGTATACATATGGTAGATAAGATTTTTAGCAATCCTGTTCTGTTAACCTTTAATTCGTCAAAGTTACAAAAGAATAAAATTAAAATCTCACGTATTTTTCTCTAAACTAGTACAGTATATTTATTTTAATTAGTTGTTTGTCATACTGGACACTATCGAATTAGGGGTTAAATGTGTTAATTACCATCTGAAGCCTTCAAAAGTAAATATTAATTTTGTTATGGTAATAGATGTTGGCTTAGTTCTGTCAGAATACTGTTAACACAGGTATATTATTAAAGTGTCACCTGTGCCAGCTTCTTGTTGAGTATAGTGACGGGCGACTTGCCGTCAGACTGTCCGAAGGGCCGCTGTATCGTGCGCTGTATGATCTTCTGTCCTGACGGAGTGATGATTGTCTTCTCTGTCACTTGTTGTCCACTCGCTGAGTATGTTCGCTTTGGCTAAATAAAGAAACATTGATGTTATACCTCTTTTTCCAATATCTTGGCAGATTAAATTATGTTCTTAACAGCAACTTGTAAGATGTTGGGTATCGCAAACATATTTGATAACCTTTATACAAATTGAACAATTTTTTTAAAATTTTAAGCCACATAACATATTTAGATATTAAAATTCCTATTCAATTAGAGATCAAATGTTGTTTTACACAATTTTGTTTAACACTTGCCTGTGTGGATAGAGGCGTTCGCATCGGTGACGCATTCTTTTTACTTTCTTCAAGTTTCTTCTGTTTAGCTGCTAATATCTGTTTTCGAATCACGTCCTGGTCAATGTTGAGGCCTGGTCCCAGTTTCCCCGGTGAATCAATCTTCATGATGCCTGAACTTTTCGACATTATGTAAATACCTAAAAAGAAAACATGCTATTTATTTCTTGTATGTGGAATTTCTTTGGTATACCAAAAACAATACACGCTTTTAGGGGCGTAAAATAACAAAAATAATGTACACAAGAAAATAAAATATGAATTAGATTCTATTAAAGTACATATTTCCCAGAAAGTTTGGGCTTAACTTTTGAAATGTCAAACCACACAGTGAAAACAATAAAAGTGCCGTATTTACCTGTGGTAAGATTCGGCATATGTTTGGGATCAACTTGTATCACCCCTTTAATATTCGGCATGCCCTTGCCACCGAGCCCGAGTGACTTCACTAGTTCAGGGTCTAACGATGATTTCGGTGATTCCATACCATTCCCATTCAGTACTCTCTTCTCAGCTGAAATCGCCGAGAATCATATACAACCTCGTTCTATAGTTTGTCTAAATAAGATTGATTAGTTTGACAATTCTTGTGACAATTTAGTAGGGGTGGGTTGTGTAAAATCAAGCATGAATCTCTTTGATTTAAATTTTAATTCTATCAGAAGTTGGAATCGATAAATTCATAGTTATCTTATGAATGAAAAAAAAAAAAACACTTTTCTTAAATAAATAATGATTAAATAAATAATTGTTCTGCACAATTACAAATAATGAGAGTAAATAAATATTTAATAATCTACTCCAGCCGTACGTAATCGAATTGGATTTCACTATTATTGTCATCGTTAAATTCTCTACACTATAATTAATACTAGAATTGTCCTCTAAATAAGTTAATAAGAAAATTATAATTTTAATTAAGTTCGATAAATTTCCCTTAAGCCGAATATCGATAGTTTATAATTGATCATACGACATTTGCCTTCATATAAATTTAATTCGATACTTCATTATGCGTCATTTATCAAACGAATCTATCTTATTTAGACAAACTATAGTTCTTATCTAACATTTACGCTATGTACTGTCAAGGAAAAGTATTGCCCAAGTGCAAATATATACAATTTAAACAGCTAGACACTGCTTTTATTGTGAAATTTTGCAGCTTTATATTTAAACAGGTGGAAAGCTAATGTAATTCTTTGATTGTACAGAACAACTTACAAGCTATTAATAAATATTTTAAGGGTAAATGATAATTACTTTGCGTATTACTCCTGGGAGATTCTGCGTCGGAGTAATCTTCTTCTTCGCTGGAGAGTTCCTTCTTTATCTTCTTAGCTGCAGGTTCATCCTCTGCGCCGCACCACGCCTTCACCTGGTCCAGTGCGCGTACTTTACTCGTTCTTTGTAGACGACTGAGAAGAAAAAAATGCTAAAGTTATCTATAATATTCACACTTTACCCAAAATCTTTATAATACAGTAAAGATATTATAATACTAGTTGTTGCTTGCTTCTTCGTCTATGCAGTAATAGAAATTGTAGTAAACATAGCCTCTTACTCAGTGATAACATAGCTATTAACTGGTGAAAGATTCTTTGTAATTGGCGCGGTAGTTTTTGAGTTATCCCAATACGTACAGAAATACAAATCATTCCTCTTTATAATATTAGTATAGAAGTATAGATAAAGTAAATATGTGATTCCTTACCCAGAAGAAGAAATCATAGGACTGTCAGATTTTTTAACAACCTGCTTGACAATTTGTGGCAAAGGAGTGCTGATTTGTTTCACCTAAAAAAAAACCAGAAAATTAGTTAAGAGCATAAATCAAATATTTAAGAGATCACATTGTTTTAATTCTATTAAACTAAACTGTTTGTTTTTAATTTACCTGTACCGGATGCTGTTGCTGCTGAGCCCTGAGAGCCTTCAGCTCCTTTTGTCTGGCGAGCTGCTTCTCAAACGCTTCCAGAAGATGTTTACATGTCTCCATATTCTCTACCGGCTCCCATGTGTTCTGTTCACTGTACACAAAAATAACAATTGGAAGGAAATCTAAAAAGTTGACTTCTTACGAAGTTGGCCCCTTTGTAAACAAGGCAACGTAAATCAGCGAATTTAGTTTCTATGTAATACAATTTTATAGAGGTTTGTATATATGTAATGAATATCAAATATCTACCTATTAACAGAAAAAAAAAATAACTAATGCTAGACATGTAGTTTTGTATAATATATAATACTAAGATTTGCCCGCGACTTTGTATGCGCAGAATTAAGAAAAATCTGGTAAGTCTTTGAGACTTAGAGTAGTTCCCCAACAGTGAAAAAATAGTCAAATCCGTTCAGTAGTTTTGTAGCCTATTTATCACAAACCTTTTCTCTTTACATTTTAGATAGAAAAAAAATTATGTGTTTCTTAAGCAACATTAATAGTTTGTGTATGTACTTACTGTGGATATCCCTCCCACTTGAGGAGATATTCGTACTGTTTCCTGCGCGGGTTGAATCGTTTGGCGAGGATCTTCTCGACGACGTACTCGCCGGCCTCCGCGGGGTCTGCGCCCTCGCGCTCCGTGCGCCGCGCGATGCGCTCCTCCGCCGGCACGCGCTCCTGCGCCGTGCGCACGCACTCCCGCTCAGACAACTCCTACATATATTAACTTGAATTACATAAACAGTATTAAACGCAAGTGATATTTGTAATTTACCGTAAACTTGAGGCAAAAAAGCAATAGAAATAAAACATAATGAAATTTCGATTAATAGTTAAATTTTGTAAAGTAGAAATTGGGTTCAATTTATTTATAACTAGCTTTCGCCCGCGACTCCGTCCTCGTGCAACTAAATAACAAAAGTCTAAGTATTATTCCAGAATAACCTCAAGAATACTTCGACTTTTGTTGTTGAATGTTGACATTGATAGCAAATTTCATCAAGATCTATTTAGTACTTTATGGTACAAACTCTAACAAACTACCATCCATCTAAACCGCACCAGGAGCAGTAAAAAAAAAAACTCCTACATATAAAACACCAAATCATAAATTTTGAACCTTAAATACTTTAATGTCCAATGAAAAAGAATGTACCAGCTTCTATTTCACCATCCATACATTATCTTAGCATTAATATTAGTCAGCAATACTACCAGTGTAAGTCAGATTTTGTGGATATAATAACTAGTAACAATGCATAGTCATGTCTTCATGTCTGTGTAGAGTTGATAAAATTCGATATATGATAAGAAAAAACTTGATTACAATGTAAACTAGCAAGTAAATAGAATACAATAGATTTGTATACTAAATTTTTAAAATATAGAATTCTGGGTTTTGCATGCAATTGCACAGAATTAAGAATAATCTAGTATTAATAATATGTGTCAACCTGGAATAGCGTAGCTTTCTAATAGTGAAAGCATTTTTCTAATTAGTTCTGTAGATTTATAGCCTATTTAATACAAAAAAATCTTTCCTCTTCAGTTTCCTGAAGATTTGTGTAAGTATTGAAATAACTCAAAAAATAATAGGCTGTTTTAAAAATTCTTTCACCATTAAAAAGCTATGTTATCATTGAGTAACATAGGTGGAGTTGTTTTATTATATTTTTATTTTACGTGGACGAAGTCGCGAGCAACAGCTAGTATATATTTTACATGAAGCTTATTTAAAATAATTATGAGAATATTTACCTTGGGCTTAGGTGTTTGGAATGTAACTGATTTAGACATTGCTCTGTGAGCGGGGTTAGATTTAAAGTCATCACTCTCTTCACCAGACGGCAATGCTTCAGGATCTTCCTGCAAATTATAATCATCATTAATACTTCTATATAACTAAATAATAATCAAATACCTTAAATAAAAAAGTGATAAAAAGAATAATAAAAAAAAACTGGCACCCAATGGCACTAACTGGCACAAAATGAATTTATCTTTCATTATGCAGAAACACCACAGTAATTGTTTATAATTTGATTAAAAAAACTTGATTAAATTGTCACAGTAAGCAGCCTTACCAATTTAGGTATTTTTCTTGGTCTACCCCTTTTTTTCACTTCTGTGCTGGGTGTTTGCACTGGCACTAATTGATCTTCAGTCTTTATCTCCATCTAAAATTTAACAAAATCACATATTTTATATTATTCACATGCATATGTGTAATATATTAAAATCAATTTAATTCATCAAAACAATTTATTAATACAATTATGTTATTTCAGTTTGTTCAGAGCCAATAAGACTTGACTTTGTTTTAGTGTAGTTGAAACTCACATTTATTCAAATATTTAAACATCAAAACCACTGAGTGGTTCAATGTAAAAATATACTTCAACAGATGTATTGCCACAACTTACAACTTTAGCATGTGCAAACTTAGACAAAGCCTGTACATTGGTGCCGGCGGTGATCCAGGCAGTCCTCTGAACGTCCGGCATGCGGCACCATTGCTGATATAGCTTCCAACTGTTGTCCGCATTCGATGTGGAACCATCTCGTGCTGAAGAACACTTCCATAGTAAGAAAGCCCATACTTGAGCTTTGTTTTCATTCTAAAAATAGATTTTCATGACATAAGCTTTAAAAAACTTGATACACTATCTTGAGTGAACATTTCAAATCATTGGGAATATACTCAAAACCAAGATGAATATAATAAACTTACACTATCTCTGACAGGAGATTTCCCAATACAGTTATTAGCATCTTTGTGCTCTTTAAATTCTTCACAAAAGTGGAATGCAGAGTGACACTGTCCACATACCAGTACATCTAGAGTCGCCATCTCTTCATGAGCCTCTGTAATGTCAAATATTTATTAATTAACAATTACAAGTTAAAAATTACAAAAACAGAGCCATTGAAGTTATTTTAATTAGGTCATTCGAAACTAATCACCTTTTAACGCAGTCGGATTTTTTGATATTTCTTCAGGATTTCCCGCCGCTACTTCGGCAGAAGGCGTTTCGCCTTCTTCAACGGTTGTCATTTTACTATTTTGATAACCTGTAAAAGTTTCTGTGAGTCAAAAACTGAAATGAAATGTGAGTATTATTGTTGATAGATATCACAAATATAACCTTGCTAATCTTGGCCGGCAACTTCCCGCCAACTCATTAAAAGCGTGTATTTTTCAACATAACAACTTTCATAAAATCGCTTTAAAATCTAAGATATACAATAATTAAAACAATTAAACAAAGAAGATGATACCACTTTGCACGTAAACAAACCAATAAGTTAAGACAATTCGATCATTTAATTGTAATTTCTCTGTGACACAAGGCAGCGAGCGACGCTTAGCATTATGCTTTATGATAGCTTGCTGTTATAAAATTAGAAACAACTAATCGATGTGTTATTACACCATTCTGAAGTCATTCTTTCGATTTACTTACATTTAAGACTTACCAAAACAATGTCAAAATTATATTTTTTTTTAATAAATTATATCACTTCGCGAACGCAACGAAAAACGGAACAACTAATGCAAGCACCAAATACTTTATGAGGGGAAAAAAGCATTCGCCGACAAAATCATTACGCCCTCTAGCGAATGCCGACAAATCATGTTCTCTTTGCATCAAATATCCTAAACAACCAATAGCAAAAGCCGAATGGTTTCTTTTTGACCAATGACAAGAATACAACAAATGTATAAATCGTAACAGACTTGATGTTAATGGTTTGCCGCACGCATTTACCGAAATGCGATTTCGCCGACGCGTTATGCCGACACGTAAAATTTTTTGCTGAAATTCTTAATTTACTGTTACATTGGTACATATTAAGCAAAAACAAGTTAAATTCATTACTTTTCTAGTCTACAGCTTTCACATATATGACAAAAGTTGATTTCAATTATAGATTATTACATTTTTTTAGAACACTAAAGGTAATCATGCTATATTTTAAAAAGTTTTCTTTAAAATTTCAATAATCGTGAAATTCTAGGTATACTTAAAATTCTAATGTTGTTATGTATGGTATGTTATTTCGATCATAATGTTAGAAAGTTCAGTAAAACGATTTAAACGAAAAAAAAATGTAAACAACGCTTTTTTGGTGAAAAAAAAAACGATACTATGCTTTTGATACTTGTGTAAATCAGTCTTGTAACCAAAATATTACCGACCATCGATACAAAGGAAATTCTCACATTGGTTGGATTCTTTGCAGCACTTTGCTCTTAACCTTCCAGATAGATTTAACTTAAAAAGTAATAAAAACGAACCGACCTAAAATTAAAGTATTCCGCTAATTTCTTATCAATAAATAAAAAAAATTATTAAATTTACATCAATGAATATTAATAAAGAACAGTAAATTCTCGTTGCCATAGAAATGGTTGTGTTTGTTACAGGCCTTTTAGTGTGTAGGTATCATATTTGATATTTTATAAAAAAGTTTTATAATAACAAGATAATAACTTCTAAAACCCATTTAGCTAAATAAAGATCACTCGGTGTTTAACTTTCTTTGCCTTCCCCAATATTTGATAAGCAAGTCCTACAAATATCGTACGGAACGTAACTACGAGCGGACTTTGAGATCGCAGTATGATTTTAAATATGCATATTGTGTTGTAATACAAATATTGTCATAGAGTCAATTATTTTTAGCAGATCTTTGTCTAGATTAACTCCTAACCAGTAATAATATCTTATGCCTCACGCGTCGTAAGTGAATTCCAGTTATGGAATTGTAATTGTAAGTGACCATCTTCGACAGTAAATAAGGGATAAATCCGAGATTCTAAATTAAACTACTGAAAATAATGTCTTTGTAGCTCAGTGCTTTTTCAGCTGATGGTAATTTAAGGTTTACAATAGCCTTCGGAAGTCCAAGGATAGTACCTCTATTTGAAGGCTCATGAATTAATATCTCGAGACATTAAAATTTCTTACAAAGCGATTTTATACCTTTGAGCAACAGGTTAAGGTTTAATTTACTTTACAATAAATTCTGTGGGTATCTGAAGAGATAGTAAGTATGTAGTAAGATATGTAAACAATGTAAACATTTTAATCGAGTTTTGTGGCTTGAAAGTGTAGATCATTATTTACATTAGGATTAGAATGTTTCGTAGGTTTTATTTACTGTTAATCTCGCTTTCGCCCCCAACTCCATTCGCTTGTATTAAAAAAAAAGTAAGTAACCTATTTGTCCTTCCTGAGCACCCTCTACATCTAAATCATCCAAATGCCAAATTACATCGAAATCGGTTCAGCTGTTTAGGCTGCAAACTCCAACAAACATCTGTCCCTCCATAAACCTAAACTTTTGCATTTATAATATTAGTAAGATTACTTTTAGGTACATTGTTCTGCATCGGTTTCATCGTATTTAACTAAGTTTAGATCTCGAAATAGGTAGATCAGCATCTGTAAATGTAGTATTACATATATAATGTAGTGCCCTCTTACGGTTGTTCGTTTTTGCATGTTGCACAAATTGCATTATATTCTAAGCAAACGCCATCTATGGTCAGTTGCTAGGATAACCTAGTTAACATAAATAATTAATATAAATTAAGAACATAAGTTTTTTTACGGAACCTATATATCTACTCTTCCATACATCTCTATTAGCCGTCATATCTGAACACGAAATCCTTTTGTTTCTTATCGTTATGTTATATTTTAGTTTAAAAAGTAAAAATACAATCTAATCACAATTTATTTGATATTTGATGGTAAAAATGACCTAACTCTCTGCAGTTTGCCTGCCTACTTCGTGTAGGTAGGCAGTTTGCCTACACGAAGTATAGCTTAGACTTAGACCAACCTACTATAAATATTAGGGCCTTTGGCTCCTATGTTTACAACTTGAAAACTGTATAGGAAGCGACTATATTAGAAGTATGTAGTGATTTCTTTAATAAATTTTGAGATTTTGATTTACTTTTACTTAATTTTTTCTTTAAATAATGATGATAACAGTTAATTTAAAAAAAAAACGCGAGAAAGACTTGATTTTGATTTTGACATAGTACGTGACTGTATTACTAGATTACAATCCAATTTACTACTAAAAGTTACCTAAACGTTGGACTGTTTCTTTCTTTGGGATATTTTTAGATATGTTTTTTACAGTAATATCAAAGGGTAATCAAACGGTTACTGTATCGACATCTTAGTAGCATATTAGCTGTTTGGAGGAAAGTTAAAAATGTTTAGTTTAAATTTTTTCTGATTTAATGTGTTTCTACTGTATTGTACCTATTTTTGTATTTTGTTCTTTTGAATAAACGTCGAGTTTCGTATTTTCTCTTTTCTTCTTCCATTTATTGAAAAGTGTTACCATATTTGAAATAGCGAAATTACCATTTTTATTCTGTATCTTTGTTGCTTTGACGCATCGTGGGACGCTTTATTTTATTCGTCCTTTGCAAATTATTTTTCGTACTTATTGACTCGTTAGTGTTTTTTCTCATATCAATTTACCGGCAAAAAGTAAATGGTTTATCTAATTTCATTACATTAATTCAAATTTGTCTGTACGTCATTGTTTCAGATAATGTCGGGCATAGCCAGTGCACGGTTAGCTGAAGAGAGAAAAGCTTGGCGCAAGGACCATCCCTTTGTATGTGCAGTCATAACTCAGTGTGTTGTTTTATTTTAGTATTACACATTAATATTTATATTCGCTTGCAGGGGTTTGTAGCGAGGCCTATGAAAAATCCCGATGGGTCTTTAAATCTCATGACTTGGGAATGTGCGATCCCCGGAAAAAAAGGGGTTTGTAAACCAATTAATCTAGAAATATTCCGCAGCAATTGCAATTATCGTATGCCTTTAAAGACCACGGTTCGAAATGATTGCATGCATTTGCATATAATTTCGAAAATACCTCCATGAACATGTTTTGTTTGAAATAATTTTTAAATAATCTTAGAATGGTAATTAAATATTCATGAAAATGTTACTTGTTTATAGACACGGAATTTTGTTTATCCACTCTAATGTAACCTAAAATTATGTAAAAGTGAAAGTGAGAACCTAAACTATTCTACAACATTAATGAAAATAATATTTTCAGACACCTTGGGAAGGAGGTTTATACAAATTACGAATGATCTTTAAAGATGATTATCCATCTACTCCTCCAAAGTGCAAATTTGAACCTCCTCTGTTTCACCCAAATGTGTACCCTTCAGGCACAGTGTGTCTCTCATTACTTGACGAAGAGAAAGATTGGCGTCCTGCTATCACAATTAAACAAATATTGCTTGGCATTCAAGATCTGTTAAATGAACCTAATGTAAAAGATCCTGCACAAGCAGAGGCATATACAATCTATTGGTAAGTTATTTCAATCTATGTTATAAATAGAAACACCATTTCAAAGCGAAATGACTACTGAGTAATGTAGGATGTGTGTGTTATTAGATTATTTAATTCCATGCAGACAAGTAGGCAAAAGCTATTATGCCACTGTTAAAACTCTTACATTTTTTCGTAGTGTTTGCTGTACAATGTACACAATAAAGGAAATATAATTGTTATATTAGCTTTCATTCAAATTTATGGTGATGTTGTGAATTCTAATGATTTGCTATTAATACACCCTTTTTTATTTGCAGTCAAAATAGACTAGAATACGACAAACGTGTGCGAGCGCAGGCGCGCGCTATGGCTGCCACAGAATAAAGAAGTCTTCGTAAACTTAGGGACTACGGTTACTAAACAAACACTCTACAAGAGGTTTGAGAGGGGTTGAATAACAACACCAAGATACTGGTTTATATAAAGACTTCAGTCTATATTCTGCCTATGGTTTTAAGTTAGGTTTAAGGTTCATTATTTAAATTAATAATTGGTTTTATGGAATGTCAACCTGAACCAAAACTCTCAGTGTAGAAATCATTTCATAGAATATAGATATAGTTTTCTTAAACCCTCTTTTAATGTAACCGTAGGTATAAATTAGGTGAGTCTGTTCAAATATTTATTGAAGCAGGGAATATCAAAAGACTTCAGTAAATATTTTGACATGTTAACCTTAAAAAATTAAAAAAATTCCAATTGTAAGGATCTTGTTTAATTTGTAAGTACTACTTGATGTTCACAAAACAAGTATTGACCAGACATAGGCTTGATAAATATTTACAGTTTGCATTTGTGATTAAAAGATATTTGATTAAAATCAATAAGTTTAAGAAACTTGTATTTGGAGATTCATTGAACTTTATTAATGCAACAACGCTGGTAGTTATTTTAAAATTGTTAACAGTTTTGGCAATAATTTTAACATTAAAATAAACATTAAGAATCTGCAACATTATCTTAATACTATTTTTGTATTTTATGTTAGTATCAATCAATAAATTTTAAAAGATACGATTTTATTTTATTTTAAACATACCACTTTAGAGATCATTTGACTAACTCAGTCTTTTACTTTACCTGTAGTCCCATTTTAGTTTTTTGTTCTAAGGCTTAAAGCGACTGCGAGTATCAATTCTACAACAATACTTGATTACCTGGTTTGGTATAGCCTCCTTTACCTGACTCATTTTTATTATTTTGAAGGCCGCTATGAAAAATATTGCAATTAATACAAGATATAATACTTCTTATTACTTTTCCGACTTCACAGTAGATATATCCAAACACGAAAAGAAATCACCGAAAAATCTGCTACTTTCTCTGAGCGCCAATATAATTGATGCTCTTCTAACGCGTCTGTTGTGAACTTTTTGGTTTAAAGTAAGTTATTCTTTGAAATAATTATCTGTTTTTATTGCTCTTTGATCGCTGACATAAGTCAATTTTGACGTTGACAAGACAAGAATGCAATTATGACAGATGTCATATCAATGTTTTGGTTTCGAGATTGAGATCTGTTGTTAAAAGATTAATTAATTTATATGCTCACTTATTTCTAAATATAAGTTTTTGTAGATATAGATACAAATAAAGTCTAATAAATAATATAAATATTTAAGATCATGGCTGACGATGAGCAGGATCCTAAAGAATACCGATGGGAAACAGGTTATGAGAAAACTTGGTATGTATTGTAAACTGTATTGTAATTTTGGGAGATATTCAAATACAAACTTTATTATGAAATGCTAATAATAATTAATATGTATGAAGGGAGGCTATTAAGGAAGACGAAGATGGCCTGGTGGAGGGTCTTGTGGCCGAATTTGCGCAGAAAGCGGCCCGAAAATCTGCAGCGCCAAGAAAAGGCCCGGTACGACTGGGTATGATGAGGCATTTACTTGTGGCAATTGATTGTTCGGAAGCTATGAACTGCCCTGATATAAAACCATTACGTTTTCTGTGCACGTTGAAGGTATACATATTATTTACTTGAGTTTTCACAGATTAAACAGATACCCTTAACCCATAAAGTATTTTTCTCTTGCAGCTTCTTGAAAAATTTGTTGAAGAATTTTTTGACCAAAACCCATTAAGTCAATTAGGTATAATAGCAATGAAGAATAAAAGAGCAGAGAGAATAACAGAACTTTCAGGAAACATTAGGAAGCATATCAAAGCTGTGCAGAGGTAATGAATACAAGGCCTAAAACTAGATGCATGTGATAATTGCTTATATTTAGTTCAAAGAAACTATAATAGAAATTTTAATACTGTATAAAACTTTTCTCATTACAGCTTGACAAATTTGGCACTAGTGGGTGAACCATCTCTACAAAACACACTGGAGTTAGCAGGCAGAATTCTCAGACCGCTACCAGGCCATGCTTCTCGAGAATTACTTGTTCTATTTGCATCTCTGACGACTTGTGATCCAGGGGACATTGTTCCTACTATACAGGTATATTTAATTCCTATTATTTACAAATCACGCATTATTTTATTGCTGATTGTTAATAAGTTAGCAGTTGACTTAACACAATTTATGCTACAATGAAATTTTTGTATGCAAATGTAATAAAAACATAAAAAAAATTATTGTAAAAAAAAATTAAATGACTGGATTTTCAATCTTTAAATTAAATTAAGTAATGTTTCTTATTTAGACTCTTATAACAATCTTTACAGGGTCTAAAAACAGATGGAATTAGATGTTCAGTGATAGGTTTAGCTGCCGAAGTAAGGATTTGCAAGAAGTTATGTCAAGATACAGGAGGAGAGTATGGAGTTGTATTAGATGATGTACATTATCGTTCACTACTGTTAGAACACACATCGCCACCGCCGCGGGCGCGTGCGCTGGACGCTGGGCTCGTCAAGATGGGATTCCCACACACACCTCCACCTAATACTCAGTCTGATCCCAGCGGGAACGCTGACCCACCGATAACAGTTTGTATGTGGTATGTCTGCCTTTATATTTAAGTTTTTAAATCAATAATCCTTAACACTTACAGTGCTAGAAACTGCTAATGAAAATTTCCTTTAATGACAATGTTTTGATAGTATTTTATTTATAATGTTAAAAAAATTATTTGTAACCACTCATGTTATGTGAGTTTTTAAATATCTTAATCAATCTTTTGAAAGTTTTACATTAGTATGTTAGTATTAGATAATACATATTATAAAGAGGAAAGATTACTGGGTAACTCAAAATCTACTGGATCAGTTAAAAAAAAATCTTTTACCATTAAAGAGCTTTTGTTATTGTTGAGTAACGTAACGTAACGTAAATAAGTTGACGAAGTTGCGAGCAACAGCTAGTACTAGATGGAACTGCAGATGCAATTCAATTTCTTGTTGAAATTAATGATTCACGATATATTGTGGTGAGATATGAAAATGTAATTTATTTAAAATCCAAGAAGTATTTATAGTATACATGGAGGTAGAACAATATTGTTTATAGATATAATATTTTTTTTTTAAATGGAGTCAGTATCCTCATACTAGACGCTGCCTGTATTGTGAGGTTCCTGGTTTTAAGATTAAACAAATAAAAGATTAAAGTTTAGGTGATATGTAATGTCAGTCACTTAGAGGAAGGCGAGGGTGTGGGCGGGGAGGGCCACCTGTGCCCGCAGTGCCGCAGCAAGTACTGCTCGCTGCCGGCGCAATGCCGCACTTGCGGCCTCACGCTCGCCTCCGCACCGCATCTAGCCAGGTATACCATACCGCCTTTGGTACTTCAATTACATCACATTTAATTGACTTAATTAATATTGTTTGAAATAATAATCACAAAGTTGTATGTTAATTTTAATATGATAATTGGATTGTAATATCGCAAAGATTCGAGGTACACATTTAGTAGAGTGATGTTGGGAAGTTGCTCTGTAGTGGTTAGATTTGAAGACTTTATGGAAATATAAATAAGGACTACAATTAAACCAGCTAAAATGTCTTTAGTTGATATTACACGAATAATGAATTTTATTGTTACCACTAGGTCTTATCACCATTTGTTCCCAGTGGAGCCATATGAAGAATTAAATAACGAAGGACAAGCACAATCTTGTTTCGCCTGTATTCGAAATTTTACAGATCTAGATAAACAGGTAATATTCACAATATTCTTCTCTTTTATAATTCTTCTATAGAGATGTGTCCATTAAGAAAACAAATCTCCGCTTGTCACCCCGGAAAGAAGACCAGTCGGACGCCACTTTACTCAGCAATATAATAAGTAAAAATTATACGAAACGCAGGTTTTCTCGTCGGATAGAAGCACTTTAAATAGTCGTGGTTTTTTTGACAAGGACTGTTTTTTCCTTGGTTTTGATTTGATTTTTAATAGCGGCAATCGTGAGATATGTTAGTAAATTTTGTATACGTATGGAAGAAAAGGCTTTTTAATTTTTTGACCGACTTCATAAAAGGAGGTAATCAATTCGTCTATATATATGTATATATTTTATTTTATTATTTGACAATGGGGTTTAAAATGTTAACATTGTGCAGATATTCCGTTGCAAGCGCTGCAGCGAGTATTATTGCTGGGAGTGCGAGGGCGTGGTGGGCAGCTCGCTGCACGTGTGCCCCGGCTGCGCCGCCAGGCCGCACCTCTACCAGCGCCTGCCCGAACAGCGGTGACCACTATACTTACTACATTTTATAAATTGATTAATAAATAATACTATTTAAATGTTTCTTATTTCTGACCTATTTATTTTACAAAAATTATAAATGCGTAAGTAAAGATCCATCTTTGTCACATATCTCCAGAAAGGCACAACGAATTCAGTATAAATGTAGAAAATAATGTAAAAGAAGACTTGGGACTACTATTTTATAATTTTGCGAGTTCGATGTCGCGGGTGACAGCTAGTTGTCACTATTTTCGTAATGGATGTCGACCAATTCGCAGTCGCAGTTTAGGCGATAGTGATTTTTCGGTGATTTCGGTTCCATTGATGTTGGAAGGAGATATTGAAGTTATAGAAATAAAAGGAATAATTCATTTTAGCTATTTATTTATTATCACAATTTGTAAGGTCAATGCGTGCCTATAAAAATATTAGCTTATTACACAAAATGCACAGTTTGAAAAGCACCTACACTGATCTGTCTATAACATGGTCATCGTAAAAATCACAGATAAAAATCTCATTGCAATAATTGCAACTCGCATAAAATTGTCGGTCACTACTATAACAATATATTTGTTACAACATGATAACAAAATAACAATATTATTGTAACATTTTTGACAAATAAATCGTGAATATTAAACCTAAAAACCTTATGATTAATTTTATTGTCACAATATATTAGGGCAATTTCAACACGAACTAGGCAAAATTCTTTCCAAGATTTTCTGTGAACATATTCCTAAAACTTCCTAGTAACAATTTAAATTGCATTGAAAACTGTTAAAGTGACCTAATATTTTGTAACGACTATAATAATTTAAGTATTTTTTTATATTTCGAGTTGTAAATAACGGTTAAAAAATGCAATCTAAAATATTTGTCATTCGTTTTACATTTTTATTAACAGTCTTTGAACGTTAGAAAACAAACTGGTCCTGTTCGTTCATCACAGTTATATTTGCCTCAATAATTTTGGTACAGGATTCGAATATGAAATATCTCATTTAGTTAATGTTATTATATTGTTCACAAATGGAATATAACAAGATTTTTTTTTACCAAATGTAAAACGATTTAAAATAAAAATCTTCAAAGAGTTGTAAAAACCGCATCTCAATACATTTTTTCGAATATCGTGGGAAGAAAGAGGAGGAAAAACTTATTTTCTCAAAGATTAGCGACTTTAGTTTGTAATCGTTATAGTTCGGGAGTAAAAAAAACCGTTTGTACTCTTTGAATACTACGCTATAACGGAATTGAACTATCACGCCCTTCAATTTGAACTATTTATCTAATGCAACAGGGTGATGAGAAACTTTGGGTTAACTTAACACTCGTAACTTACTTTAACTTAATACTTAGACTTGTTGACCGTCGGCCGTCTTTTTGCGCGTCACCCAAAGTATATTGGGTTTTTGGTAATACTGTTCTATTTGGAGGAGGGATTTTCCTTTGGTCTCTGGGAGGAGGAGGAATAAGACGACAGTGGCGAGGGAAGCGGCGGACCCGAAGAGCGCGAATACACCGGACATGCCGACAGAGTTCTTCATGACTGGGAAAAGTTTAGTAAAACCGAATAGAACCGCGTTGAAGACGCAGAATATGTAACCACCGCAGAGTCCGCGTACTTTGGTGGGGAGGAGTTCTCCGATCATGAGACCGGGGAGTAGGAAGAACCCTAGAGTATTGAAGGCGACGTAGCCCAGTATGAGCACTGGAGTGATGAGGCCGGAGCCGTTGTCCGTGTAGAGCAGGAAGGCGAGGGCGAGCGTGCAGGCGGCGGTGCCGACGCCGGACATCATGACGAGGGAGCGCCGCGTTATCTTTAGCAATAAAATGCAAGCTATCACGGTCACGCCGAGCCTCGTGCAGGCGCTCGCGTTCGCTACCATCTGTAATTAAATATAATACATTATATCATACTAATATAAATGCGAAAGTTTAGATGGATGGATGGATAGATGGATGTTTGTTAGAGTTTGTAGAATAAACGGCTGTACACGGATTTCGATGAGATTTGGTAGAAATGTAGAGGATAGTCTGGAAGAACACACAGGCTACTCACTTTTTTTTTTAATTCCACGAAAACGGAGTCGTGAGCGAAAGCTAGTATTTCGAATAATTGTAAATATAATTTACGTGAGGGCTGAGTGATCCGCCGGCCTCTCTGACGATATCGACGGCGTAGAATATGACGATGTAGGAGCCGGAGAGTATCTGCAGCATGTTGAACGCGTTGATGAGCAGCAGCGGCTTGAGCACGGGCGGGCGGGACACCGTCGCGAAGAAGCGGATAGACTCCTCACCGCGTGCCTTCTCTTTCTCGCGCGCTGATATCAATTCGTGAAGCTCTCTTTGCGCCTGAACCACACAAATAGCAAAGATAAAGATCAATAAATCAGCTATTGCCTGTCCTCTATATACATGTAATAAAATCGGAGTGTGTGTTTGTAATATCAAAAGCAACATTCCAGATTACTGTTTACTTAAGTCTTTGTTACGAAACCAACACGAGATCTCTGTTTGTTCCGGCTGGGCCGATTTCGATAAGACTTTCACTGGGGGGCAGCTGCTATGGACGGGTATATTATAAGTTACGTTTTTTTTCAATTCCGCGATGTCAAAATGGGTGATACGATTTTTATGGGACATTGACTAGAATGTAATAGACGACCATTTTTTTTAAATCCGCACTAACTAAGTTTGCGGACGACAGCTTAGACGTTAAAAATTGGAATCGAAGGACACTTAATTGCTCATAATCGGTGAAGTTGCACTATGAAACGATTATGAACATTGTAACATACGACATTTTAAATTGAAATACATTCGTTATTCAAATGCGGAGACAATAAAGAATAAAGAATGATTAGTGTTCGTAAACACATGACCGTTGAACGATGCGCGTGCGTTGCGTCTTCACCTCAGCTGTCAAGTGAGCTATTGAGCTCGTTAAGGCAGATTGGCGAAGCAACGCGCACCAATACAAGCAGTAAACAAAAGTAATTACGTCTTCCAATGAAATATGTTCTCGGAATTGCTATGTTTACTTTGTGTTATGGAATTCGAGCTTAATACATTGAATGGTGTTTCGTTTGTAAGACGATACAATAACGATAAGGCACGGTGAAGGACGAGTGGTGGAACACGGTACGGGTTTATAAATTGCTACCGGTTGACTTTTTCGATAAAACATGATGCAACTTGATTCCAACTTTAACGTTACTTAATAAAACACGTTTTTAAAGCTAAAGTTCATACATTTCAGTTAAGACTAAAAGCAAGGATACATGAAATTTAATTATAACAACTTAAATTTACAATAAAGTAATTTAATGTATAAATTATGACTTTTAATTTTCGAATATCACTTACGATGTCTGGGTTCCCACGCAGTCTGCCCATAGCGGCCATGGCTTCGTGGAAGCGTCCCTTCCTGGCGAGCCAGGTGGGACTCTCAGGGGACAGGCAGAGCACGATGAAGGCCAGGGAAGGCAGCACGATGCAGAGGAAGGACACGGAGCGCCAGGGTAGCGCGCCACCCAGAGCGTATACATACAGCACACCGAGGGAATACGCCACGAATGGTGTACCAATCAGCAAACCACGTAAACGAGGTTCTGATATTTCTCCTAGATACACCTGAAAGTAAGGAAAAATATTCGATTTAGAGTTATTGCCAAAGGCGAGGGAATCCCACATGACTAAGTCTAACGCAAATTGTTGCTCTCAGTGTGTGACGATTGCGATAATCAAATAGTAGCCTATTACTACCTAGTAGAATAGTACCTACTTGAAGTACCTTATATGTGGGATGATTATTTTATACTAGCTGTTGCTCGCTACTTCGCCCGCGTCGTATTAAAAAATATTCTATGTTATTCACTGATAACATGGCTTTTTAAAGAAGAAAGATTTTTTTAAATGTGACCAGTAGTTTTTGAGTTATTTCAATACATACAAAAGTACAAATCTTGTCTCTTTATAATATTAGTACATATATAAGTAAAAAAGTATACGTAAGTATTTTAAATGAGCTCGACCTCACTAAATTATCCGATATATCTGTAATAGTGTAGCATAACAAATTTAAACCCGAATTTCTTTTAATTAGACGTGGTAATATGAAGTATAGGTATTTGAACAAACCTGTGACGGAGCGGCCATAATGCCAACAGCGAAGCCGCACACGATTCTACCGAGTAGCAGCAGCGCGTGGTGCATGGCGGTGGCGATGAGGATCCAGCCCAGTACTAGCGGGAAGGTGGAGGCCTGCAGTGTGCGCCGCCGCCCTATCGCCTCCATGATGGGCCCAGATAACATCGACCCTAGTGGCGTAGCCGCTGAATGTATGCTGGCTGTAATAAAATAAAATTCATTAAATCAACTTTTATCTGTAGTGATTTTGAATGCACGTAATCTTCTGTTTAATATAGAAAAACCAGATAGTTAGCCGAATTGAGAAGTCTTTCTAGAAAGTCGGTTATAAGTTTTCAATCTCATGTGCAACAAAGTTAATATTAATTAAACGTTATAACAACTTATTGGTAAATTCGACCAATAACTATATTTTCTCGAAGCAGTGGAAACAGAATAGCTGAAAATGGTGGAAAATTTAAATTATTTACGATTTTTATTATTCGACGAGACGATAGGGAGATAAACCAGAAAGTGTTACGAATTAATGTGAATGGCTACAAAGGAAGAGAACGACCGAAGAAAGCATGGATGGATTGTGTGAAAGAGGATATGCTTAAAAAAGGAGTTTCAGATATGACGGCTGATAGAGATGTATGGAAGAGCAGCACTGTGCCGACCCTCCATAAGGGATAAGGGCAAGTTGATGATGATGACGATTATGTACGAATATGTATTGTGTAACAAAGATGATATATGCGTATTTAGTTATGTATTTTTATTCGTATTACTAAAGCATTTTGTATTTAACGTGGTCCTTTGATGTGCGATCTGTGTATGAATGGAATGACTCAGCAGTAATACGTATGAACATACTTATCAACAACCAAATTGTCCGGTCACGAAGTTTTTAACACAAACATAAGTATTTATTTGTAGTTTATTTAGTACCTTATTTATTAATTCTATTCATGCTAACGAAAAAAAAATTGTAAAGCGTGCGTTTTCGTTCGATTTTTTTAATTCAATTAATAAAATTCGACTATGTATTAATGTACTGTGTAGTATTCTGACTGTACACGTACAGAGGAGAGATAAGAGAGAGGGATTTTTTTTTGAATAGACTGAGCATTATCCTTATTGTTTGGTTTTGTATACGATTTATGTTATTAGGATTGACATTGGCCTGGAATGTGTATATGATAATTTAAGAAACCACAAAACACATATAATTTATCATAAAGCATTACGTGTCTTTATTATTTGTTGTTTTGTAAAGTTACTTTTTAAAGTATGTACTACAATATAAATCATAAACATTATTATGATGTCGTCCACATACTTCGTGGTTAGAATTTATAATGCATTGGGACACAAAAATATTTGATTCTAATATTTATGGTCCTGTCTAACTAAGTTACTATTTAAAATAATTTAACTTTTTAATTTTTTGATTGTTTACTGTTTAATATTACAGTTAAGTTTTATTATTATGTTTAAAAATGAATATTTTGTTTTTTATAATAAGTTGATTATAAACAAACGCAGATTCTTGGATAAAAGTAATTTACATTCATACTAAATCAGCAATTTAAACATTTTTACAAGCAAAATATAACATAACGTTTGTAAACTTGTTAATTTATTTGTTTGGATTTTTTTATAAAACATTATTTATGTAGTACAGTTGCAAAGAAAATAGTTATCATAAATAAAGATAAAATTAATAGAGGTCTGTATAAAGCTCGTGACTGTATTCTGTAGAGCAATTTGTTATTCATAATGTACTTGTTCGAACAGTGTTTGGTTTCAAAAGATCGTCTTAATCAGTGTTAATTATTTTAATGATCCTGAAAGGACTTCGTTCATTGCTTGTTCGAGAAACGTTTTCATAACAAGTTACTTTATTCGAGGTCGAAGAAGGTTAATAATTATATTCTGTCATAGTTTATTAGACATGTGTAGATTTTTTCATATTTCTATTTTATGTCTATGTTAGAGATTGTTCTAAAAATAAAACTTAATAGTTATGAAAACTTACAATTTTCTTAAAGTTTATTGCAATTTATATTGTTGTTTGTCAATAGAATCTGTGAGTCAGCGTAATTTTATTAAATTGTACCCCTGTCGTTATTGTTCAAACAATAGAATTGCTTTATTTAAGTGTGTCTTTTGTAAGAATTGATTTGTTTAAAGTAAATAACACGAGATGATGTTACTACATTTACTGAACTCTTCGCAAACTTAGGCGCTATGGGGAACAGTATTGAATACCGGTTTTAAAATTTTACGAAATACTGTAATTCTTGCGAAAATGTTTCTACACGTTATTCGTATAGTAACTAACGGATGGAAGCAATTATTTATAACTTAACCTAATGCCGCGCATAACAGGTTTTACATAGGCTCGAGCGTATCTTATTCTACGAAATTATGTTCAGATTTATAAGCAATATTTTATAATTGTTACATTTTTCTTAACTCAGAGTCCTTTAATAACCACTAAAGCAACCTTTTTTGTAGATTTCTCATATAAAATATTCACTTAGATACCACTAAGAGTTAATTATAAGTTAAGTTATAAAATCAGTGGTGTACTCACCAATCCACGAGCCCATTTCCTCGTCTATTCTCATACTGGAGTTCTCAGTCTGCAACTGAGGCAGCGCCACCGCGGAGAAGCCGATCGGATGTCCAGCGCCGGCCGCCAGCACTAATACTGCGCATGTGATGAGGCACTAAAACAAACATAATCTACTTTATATGTTTCTAAAGCATTTCAAATATCACATTATATTAAAATAAACGTATGTGACAATCAGAGATTAAATGTAGAAGAGAATTCTGAAGAATTAAAGAAGAAAGTTAACAAAAGGAAGATTAGGTTGCACTAGATACAACACAGATGTAGATAAAGTCCTCATCCAAAATATCGTAATTTTTTTTAATTCGCCAAAATGGCGAACCGACCGCTGCCCATAGACACCCATAATTGTAAATGCGTTGCCTACACTTAATTGACGGAGAAGGAGACGCACATAAAGAGGATATTTCCCCTTCCTATGCGTCCTCCACCGTCAAATCCACTTTCCCTTCCCATCCTTGCCTTAAAAGAAAAGGGTGATAATAGTAAGGGACTTTAATTAGGCCTCCGCCACCACATTTATCAAACAACACGCGGAATTGCATTCACTTCACGTTTGCCTTCTGAATGATTGTGGTATTACACTGGGTGAGCAGGTCCATTCGTGCGCAGATGTTAAAGCGGGCTCTACCACTGTTAATATTTTCCCGCTCAATTCGGGCGGGCAACTTTAAAATTTAAAAGGGGGTTGTTTTTGAATAGTGTTTCATGTAACTAAGCGGCTAGGTCATTGCCACTTCAATGTGTGTTGCGAAGAAGCAGTGAAACGAGACGATGCTAAGACAAGTTAGTTACACAATTACTTTGAGAGGATCATGTAAGCATGTTTTGTTTCAAATTCAATTCGCAAAGGTTGATTCAGTGTTACATTATGCGTGCCATTGTTTCACGGCCCCCGGCCAATGTAAATATAACAAAGAACATTTTGAGAGATAACATCAGACCAGTTCTGATAATTTTTTTTGTTGATTTTTTAACAAGGACCTGTTTTTAATTGAAAGACTGACTCCATTGTGGCTAAAAGTATTCAATTAAATTACATTTTTAATAGATATTTTTTAAAGAGTGGGTTAATGACGTATTTAACACGTATCTAGATTGTTGATAGATAACATTTGATCTAGATAACACCAAGTTCTGGCTAAATGTAGTATAGACTAAGATCCTGCGACCGAACACTTACGTAATTTTAACAGCAACGAGTTTTCCCGCACATAATTGTAGGAGATAACAACTGTAGCCAACCAAGATATTTACGGACAAAAATCCTTGTGGTTTTTATATCGGCCAAGACCCTCGGGAGGGTCAAGTTTATTTTTATTAATTTGCCGACGACGGCCCACGAAATCTTATAAATATAGTTAAAGAAGATATGACATAAACCAAGTGTTTGAACTCATAATTGTTATGCCCTTCTGAAGAATTAAAAAGTTAAACAAACCAGACTGCGGAAGTCTATGAGATAAATTAAATAAATAAAATAAATTCATCTTTGAAGGAAAGAACAGAAGTGCGATGTAAAAAAATCATTCATGAGAGTATTAAATAAAATTGTTATAGCATTTATTTGGGCATTTAACAAATCTAAGGGCATATTTAATGTATCCTTTTTTAAAAACAGAACAGCAATCGAATTAAGATGAAAACATGCGGATTTTGTGAAAATTTCTTTATATGAAATCAAAAAATTAAATCCTAACTCTATTTAATATCAGACATATTAAACAATAAAGATTTAATTAATCTTATCATCATCTCCCCTGCCTTATCCTACTCCCGTAGGGTCGGCGCGCCCGGTTTTCGTCCTCCAAATAACTCTATCATCCGTCATCTCAGTCATCACTCCCTTCTTTATCATGTCTCCTTTCACGCAATCCATCCATCTCTTTCTAGGTCTACCTCTATCGGTGTACACCTTCACATTTATAACTAAAGTCCTTCTTGTTACATGCGATTCAACATCTAATCTTTATCTACTACATTTTTTCACTATACAGTAGTCGTAGAGATAAAAATGATTTATTATAACAACATGCATTGACGCGCTTTGAGACACTTCGCGCGGTATGCTCAATGTCATGATTAATTTGATAAACTCAAGTGGCTACTTCATACAAATTTCTATGTTACGGTTGATGTAAGTAAATGAGGCAATATGAATAATAACCAGCGTAATCTTTACCGTAGACCGAATATTTTTTTGTATGAGTCAAGAGTTAGTTACAATTTCACCTACAGTTTGTAATCATACTAATACTAGGTATAAATTCTCTCTTGTAATTTAGCACAGATGTAAAACAGCTTACTTCTAATTTAAAAAAAAAATCTGACAGTAAAAAGTCACGGGCATATGCTTAATTAAATAAAATTAAAACACTGTTATATGACAATACAATTTCCTGCTTTAATGAGGCTAAGAACCTTCAAAAAGGACGAGGAAGTTTCTGACAAAAGACGGTTTTATTAAATGTTTTTAATGAGACGATAAAAAGAAATTTTTACGCTGAATAAACAATTAAACAGAGTGCTACCGATAAGCTTCAATTAAATATCACAGACATCATATTAATATTATAAATGCGAAAGTTTAGATGTTTGTTAGAGTTTGCAACCTAAGCGGCTGGACAGATTTAATTGAAATTTGGTATAGATGTAGAGGATAATCTGGAAGAACACATAGGCTATTAGCTTTTGTTTGTTTTTTTTTTTACTTCCACGCGGACAGAGCCGCGGGCGAAAGTTAGTAATTTATATTGCTATAAAATAAAAGTTAAAAAAGATGAAACAATTTCAGCTATTGAACTCCGTTCGTCAAATTTGATTGATTTTATTACATCTGATTATTGTTCAACTGATTGTATTGATAAAGTGTTTCTTATTTATTTTTTTTTATTTAAAAACGTACATAACAAACAGTCACTGAGTTATCAATGATCACAATATAAACTGCTATTATTCAATATTGCGAAATCGTACATATATTAAATCTGTGCAAGTCATTTGCGTAGATAACATTTTCGATTGCCACGTTTATATTCATGTCTCCTCATGATTAGTCAATAAAAAAGACATCAATATTGTTTTTTTTTTTGGAGAACGCTAGTTATGATTGTGGAAGGGTACATCGGTAGAGGTAGACCTAGAAAGAGATGGATGGATTGTGTAAAAGGTGACGTGATCAAGAAGGGAGTGATGACTGAGATGACGGATGATAGAGTTATGTGGAGGACAAAAACCTGTTGCGTCGACCCTACGGGAGTATTGATGATGATGATTGTTTTCTGCTGATTTCTACAAATTATTCTGATTCAATTTCATTTTGCTTTGAGAAGACTGTTCTATTCGCTTCGATACTGCACTTCGTATGCAAACGAGAGTTTAATAACGAGTCTTTCGTTATAATATTATTCCACAAAATTCATGTGAGGGCGGGTAGAGTTAAGAGTAGTTTAAATAGAATTTTAGTCTAGAGAATAATTAACGACGTTCCTTATTCAAAACGGTATTCCATTTGAATCAAACGGAATCATTTGTTTCAATTCTAGAATAGAAGTTGCTCTATTAAAATTGATTGTATAGCGGCAGCGGAACGAACACTAGCTAAATAGAAGTTGCCTTGACTTACAGGATCGAGTTTCACGAGTAATTAGTTCTGTGGATGTTATGTAATGTAAACCGTAAATGAAAACTGTAAGAAAACACCAGCACCTTTGAGATTACTTAAGCTTGTTTTTGGTAAGAGAAACGGGATGGGAAAATCTTAATTACATAAGCTGTTAGTAGTATATAATGCGATCTCTTTTATCTATAACTTGAATCAAACGTGGCGGAACGTACCTGGTTGAAGACGCCACGCATAGAAGAATATGTTTCTCCTTTGACGTAGGGCGGTAGTGTGGCGGTGGAACTAATACTGCGTAAGAAGCTCTGTAGTGCCTCATATTCCTCTTGACTGTGTGTCTGTTTGCTCTTGACTTGAGGCTTCCGACTCTCCGCCAGCATCGCTTCGTGCGCGCCATCGCTGTACAAAAGACATGTAAATTAAAAAAAAAGTGTACAAAAGAAATTGAACTCTGATAATAAGAATAAAAATTAATTAATTTATTATAAGAATACAATTTTTTTCACACATTTTAACGTTAATACTAATTGAAGATAGAGCTTGGGTAATAAAATAAAAATATTATAGATCCGTTCAACTAATTCTACCTATTTTTTTTATTTGAAATCTGAGATCATTTTTTCTTAATTTTAAACGCTTTGTAACATCACAAGCGTGTTGAAGGTTCTGTTTATTGAACTGAAAGGTTCCTTTTAAGACGTAAGTTGTTTTTCTCATAAAATTTTATTAACGCTTGCAAGTTAGGTGGAGAGTACGATAGTGATACAAGTTCAACGATAAATGAACTCGTTAATACAGAGCAAAATCGATTGCAGGGGTAATATACAGTTTAAGGTGAATAACCGTTTATACAAAAACTACTTGATCACTCGATTCAGGTAAAGTGCAATGCCCGCCCGCAAAAGTTCATTGCTATGTAAAAATACTACGAACTACCCACTCGTTATACATTTTTTACATTCAAGGAAGAAAAACCAAAGATGAGTAGAGAAAAAGTTAAAACTGGAGTCACGCAACAAATCAAAATGTGTTTTGGCCTCAGAAGTCAATATTGTTTTATTCTACATACTACCTGTTGCCCGCGACTTCGTCCGTGTAATGTTAAGATAAAAAGTAGCCTCTAATATGCCCGTCAATGTCAACTACCCTTCAGTGAAAATAAGGTCGAAATCGGCTCAGCCGTTTTAGTGGTAATCCGAAACAAACGCGGTTGCGGACAGACAGACAGAGAAAAAAAAATTGAATGCGATTTTCGTTGTTATCGTCGCAAATACATCATTTTTCGAAATCTGGAATTTGTCTTTTGATATTACAGACACTCCAATTTTATTTAGATTGATAATATAATGAATTTAAAGTACTAAATACCGTCGAATGAAACAATACAATTGTAAGTACTAGTTTTATAACCAAATGTCTTGAAATGATGCAATAAGTTTTAAATTTCCTAGTTTTTACAAAAGATTGAGAGAAAAATCGTTTTCGCAAGTCACGATTGAACGTTAGTGACAAATTGTTAAAATTAATGAAAAATAAATCACTTACGTAAAGTTACCATATATAATAAAGTTTTTGCCAGATGTAACTTGACATTGAGATATTGTTATATGTCTTTGTATAAAGCCATTATAATTTATAAAAAAAACACATTGCTTTAAGACTTAAGTTAAATTGCTAAAGGCCTATAACATGTCTTATGTTGGATTAATATTGTTACAAAGTTAATGAAGGTTTTTTCCCGCGCGGACGATGTGTGTAAAAAACATTGCAAAAAGTTGAATCTACAAGGTTGTTTAATGTCTTCATTTCTCGAATTTTAATCACAAAATAAACAGGTCAGATGTTTTGCTTTCTTATCTTCTAAAGTTCCATTGTCTTATAAATGCAAACAATGACATATGTCACAAAAAATTGTTAATTCATCGTGGTATTGCCATTTTATGCTAAGGGAGTAATCAGCAACGCCTCCGCAAAATGTTTAAGTATGACTGTACAAATTATAGTTGTTAAAGTTTGATAAATGCTTACATTAGTCATATATACGTGTAAAATATACATCTGTATACTGATACCCCAATTTAAATTACAAACATTGTTCCAGCTAACGAACATGACTAACATAAAGCTATTGAAATGTCACAAAATAATAAAACTAAAGTTTCGATTTAAATGTTTTCAATCATTACAATGTTTAATGGCCGGTTTCCCAGCTACATTTAATTATTCGTTAGTGTTTCTGGATAACTTAAGATTTACTCAATTGAAGTTGTCCTGAACTTACCACGAATTAATCACTAGGTGACGATAAAATAAATGGTAACTTCAGAAACCCAGCATAAATGATATTTTTTTAAGTAGCACAGTGTATAATGAAACAGTGTTCTGTTGATCGAAGTTGTCAATGGACGATATTAACTATTCTAATTGGTTGAAAACGCAAAAACTACAAACACAAATACTTCTGGTTAGTAGTAAGTCTGTTGGAAAGCCGAAGTATTTAACTGTCCGATTTGATAAGTGCATTTATTAGTATTTAGTGATAAAACAAATACTATATAACATTAATCTAAACACACTGTTTTCTTTTCACTCATTTCTCGTATGTCCTTGAAGCATCTTTTTCAACTATTTCAGTGTATTCTGCCATTGACCTTGAGATTGACGAGCCAAATCTTTAAATAACACCAAAACGCCTGGCAATGATTACGTATTATTCCAATGATATTTTTTCATTTGCGTAAAATGTTAAAACTTTCCTCAACATGACTTAACGTAACCGTTGGTTTTCACTGTTTACTACTTATATTAAATCAGTTACAAGTGTTAAAAGAATAGACATATACTAGAAAAGAACGCTGTAATATGTTGTAATAATGTTACGGTAAAATTGTGATGATTTGATATTAGTTAAGCAATAAACATTCTGCAAATATTTTGCTCTATTGAACTTGACCTACAAATGCTACGGTCAATTGGACCTGCTTGATGAACTGCTGACTGATTACCGATGTTCTATAATTAGTTTATTCAAATTATGCGTAAAATTAATTTACAAATATGTAAAGAGTTGAAATCTTTCAATTAGTCTGTTTTTGTACAACATTTGATTAGCTTTCGCCCGCGACTCTGTTCGCGTGGAATTAAAAAAGTCAAAAGTGAGTACCCTATGTGTTATTCCAGACTATCCATTACATCTATGTCAAATTTCATCGAGATCCATTTAGCGGTTTAGGCTACAAACTCTAACAATCATCCGTCCATCTAAACTTTCGCATTTATAATATTAGTACGAGTAAGATTAAAAAGTTACTGAAAGTTTTCAGAAGGCCTCAAGAGCATTGACTGATGCTATTTTTACTCGCTATCAGTTGGGAGAGGTTATTTACAGGCTATGATAAGCATACTGATAACATCCTGGTTAAGGCATCTTGGGAATAACGTACTTTGAAAGATTTGTTTTTTTTTTTAGGTAAATCTTGCTTTTAAGTACCTTAAAATGATGTCGGTGTATTACTTAATATATTTTTCCTTTAAACATTATAAAGCTATTATTACTCGCGGTGTGCTTATGATACATTTCGAAGTATTAAATATGTGCAAAACAAAGCCGTTTTATCCTCATAGACCACGATAATATAATACCGGATGTCTATTTGTCTATGTCGAAAAGGAAAAGGAGATTTTTAATTCTGGAAAATATCAATGTCTTTGTTTAGAATTTTAGCGTAGGGGGAAAACTTTTGCAAGGTTGTATACTGCTCGAGTTAACTTAAGCTGTCTTGGTTAAGGAAAACGTGTGATATTTAGTTAAGGACTTTTGTAAATACGCTATCAGCATCTGATAGTAGCTACATTTAGAAGAATGCTTTAAACTATTAGGCAACTAATGACTAGCTATCGCCCGCGACTCCGTCCGTGTGGAATTAAAAAAACAAAGTGAGTAGCCTATGTGTTCTTCTAGACTATTGTCTACGTCTATGCCAAACTTCATCGAGATCCCTTGAGCCGTTTAGACTACAAACTCTAGCAAATATCCAACCATCCATTCAAACTTTCGCGTTTATAATATTAGTAAGAAGTAAAATGACGCAAAAAGTAATAAAAGTAAGGATCCGCAGGATACTAAATGAACAGTTTCAATTTAAAAATACAAATAAATTAATAACAGCGAAATGTATCCCCTTACCTTTGAATCTTCACTATTCTAAGTTTCCGTTTATAAGACAGTGCATAGCCAAATATTAATAACACCATTTTTACACTAGTTTATAAACTTTTATAAAATAACTTTCCAAGGCCCTGCGTTATCCTAAGGGACGTAAAGAGCGACTGGCGAGTAAGTATGACTATCAGAGTAACCCTTAACCCTCTCATATGCAATGCATCTCTAAATCGGTTTGTTGACATATAATTATGACAATGTAAACTGTGGACTTGCCCTACATTAGTTGTCGATTTGACTTTGATTGTTGAATAACTTGGAAAATTAATTATACATAAGATAACAAGAACATGATTTTGTATAGACAAATTAGTCAGTGTGACCTGTTCTTAAGAAAATTAATATTTTAGTACTAAACAGCGGTAGCCAAACCGCATATGTACAGGATCGTAATATTTTTTCTCATTACAGATTTTATGAGTTTTTGCTTCTTATTATAGCAACTCATTAGCGTGTAACAATGTAACGCTAGTGAAAAACCATTGAGGTTTATTTAGCGTTTTTTTTTATTTTAAACTCGATTTAATTGTTTTCGTATTGTTAAAAGAAAAATAAAAAAAAATGTTTTTCTATGTATATTACGTTTTTTTATGTTTTGCTTGTTATGGAGGTATTCGGTTAGGCAATAAAGTAACTACCGTGATACTAGTTCAAAATGTTTTGAATATGTTTAAAGTAAAGATTTTTTTACTTTTAAAAACTAAAATACATCTTGTTTTATACCTGTATACAACGTAGCAAAGTGCTTTATAGATATTGTTACTAAAAGAAGGAGGTTTTTAAAAAAAATATATGTGTGTTATTAACTTGTTGATACCAAGTCCCTACTCATACTAGTCAATTTCTTATTATATTCTCGAAACTATAAATAGATATTATAATTCTTTTTTTATTCTTATTCAGTTTATTTTATTCATGATTATGCATTATGCATTAAACTACGTGCCTTAGTGTATATTATAAATGAGCAACAATTTACAGAACAGAAAGCGGTGACAACGACAAAAATCCAATATGTTAAATGGCTACTATAGGTAAGGATAACCGTATATAATTTTTCATTTGTTGTACAAAGTACACATTGCTTTGATGTCATTATTAGGGGTACTAACTTTCAAGTAACGTAGACATTAGCAGCAAGAAAAGCAATCAATATCTTTCAATCTTTGCTGGAGGT